TTGCACGAGGGCATCTCGCGCAAGTTCTTAAAGTCTCACATCGCGTTCTGCGAGCGCGGCAGGGGATTTTGCCGTCCAACATCTGACCAAGGCCGTCCAATGTCTGATCAGACAAAGCAAGGTCGCGCCAGTTTGTTTCCTGTGTTGAGCAACGCCTTGGCTCCACACCTAAACAAGAAGAAGCAGCAGCAAAAGTTTGTTTTTGCTGATTCTGTTTGGTTGGCTTGTCGCAGGAGAGCGCGTTTCTTACTGATTGCTTGTCACAAACGCAGTTCAAGCACGAGCTCTACCCCTGTGCATTTATTTCCCTTGTTGGGTGTTGTTTTCCTGGTTGCGTTTGATGGCCGTCGAGCTTGTTTTTCCACACCCGCCGCCCAACGCGCGAGGTGCTCGCGCGCAAGCGACACAGTGGGTGTGTTTGGCGTCGAGTTCGCCATGAGTGAAACAGCAGGAGCTGTGCCCCGTCGTGGGCCAACCAACGGCGTGCCCCTCTCACACTCCTGTGTGTGTGGTCCATCGAAACGACAGCAACCTTTGCGTTTGCAGAAAAAAGAAGGGTAAACTACTTGCGCAGGGCTGCTGGCTGTTGTGATGCGCGCTCTGCCTGAGCTTGCGGCGCGCGGCGAGGCTGCCCAGCGCAAGGGCTGCGGCGTGCGTGCAACAATAGTGTTGGCCCCCTAAACCTTGGCGTGCGTTTCGGCCCGCTGCCAAGAACAGACTCAGGCAGGATCCCGATGCTGGGTTTCTGGTGTTGCCACTTTCTTGTGGGGCTGGGCGGACGCCCTGAGCCGCAGTGAGGCCTTGTCCGTGCAGCACGGCATTGTGACCTGGGTTGGGGCTTGGTTGGCATTGTTGGGGGGCTGACCTGCTGCTTTGCAGGTCACCCCCCACTTGTGCGCTTGTCCATTGGAAAAGCGAGCGCATGCTGCGCAGCTATGCAATGTTGTCGGGCTTGTGCGTAGGCGGCGCAGTCCGCTTGCCCTAGCCGCAAACATTGCTTTGCGCAGCTGTGCAGCCAACTTGGTGACACAGGGCAGGGTTTGACAAAGCGGGTGGCCCGCTTCGTGAACCCGCCCGCTATTAAGAGCTGCAGGGGCTTTGCCTGGGGGGCTGACGCTCCGTTGTGCTCAAGCCATGTCGTTGCGCGAGCAAGCAAGCGTTTCTGGCAGAGCACGGGGGTGCTGGTACCAATACACCCATACTGTACCAAGCATACCCTAACAACTACTAACAACCGTGCCAGCTGTACCAACTGTACCCCCCGCCCCCACACCGTACCGACTGTGCAAGAGCGCTTTGCGAAACTCGAGAACGTCTCAAGTCTCCAGCGACAGGCAGGGTTGACCCACCAGCATGCTTGCTTGCCTGTGGCTAACCCTCCCGCCTGCACACGCGCGCTGCTTGTATTGAGTGCTTGTATAAAGTTCTCGGGCTTGCGCGTAGGCGGCGCAGTCCGCCCGCGCTAGCCGCAAACATTGCTTTGCGCAGCTGTGCAGCCAACTTGGTGACACAGGGTAGGGTCTGACAAGCGGGTGGTCCGCTTCGTGAACCCGCCCGCCCGCCCTGCTTGTTGACACTTTGCAGCCCAAGAGCTGCAGGGGCTTTGCTTGGGGGGCTGCTCTGCTTTGCAGGTCACCCCCCACTTGTGCGCTTGTCCATTGGAAAAGGGAGCGCACGCTGCGCAGCTATGCAATGTTGAGCCGTCATGTGCATTTTGAAACCCCGCCCACCCTCCCCTTGTTGGGCCCATGTGCCCTTGGCCAGGCTGGCCAGGGTGGCTGGCTGTGTGCGCTCGGCATCCATTGGAAAAAAAGTGTGAGGTGGTTGCGAGTCAAACACGCAGCAAGTGCGCAAGCCTTGAGTTTGGTTCTAATAGAGTAGAGTTTTGTGCCGTTGTTGAAGCCTCTGCCGCAAATCAGCGTGAAACAGGTTTGCGCTTCAAGTCGGTCGCGCTTTGCCCTTGCTTGCTGAAAAGAAGGGGCAAGTTGTGCTTGAGGTGCTTCGCGAGAAGATTGGCAGCTATGACCTTGTTTCGTTTTGCTGTTACTGGCCAATCTTTGCTGCTGCTTGTGCAGCAGGCAGGAGCTTTTGCAATCGCGCAAGATGGGTGTTGCGCTTGTGCTGAAAGTCATGACAGGCTTGGTGCAGTGCAGCTCCTGCCCGCGTTGTCGATTCATCTGGGGCTGCTTCCCACGCTGGTCTGTTGGAGCTGCAGACAAGTGGCGGGGGGTACGGGTCCGTGTGTGGCATGAACAGTGCAGCAGCGCACGTCGCTTGCAGACAGTTGGGCTTTGACTTCGGTGTTGTTTCTTCAACGCCGTGTGGTCAGTATGGGGGCCAGAGCCATTGTGGGGCCAGCGGTTCCGCAGTGGCCATGAAGAATTTGAAGTGCGGGGGTAGCGAGATGAGCTTGAGCGAGTGCGAGTTCGAAGATGCTGATGAGGCATGCTTCAGCCACAGCAGCGATGCAATTGTGTATTGCGGTCTTGACAATGCCGTGCCGTTTGTGAACGGCGAGCTGCGCTTGGTTGACGGAGATGGCGCTCCCGCTTTGCCGCAAGAGGCAGGGCGGCTGGAGATGTACTTGGCGGCCAAAAGCGCTTGGGCCCCAGTGTGCAAAGTTGGGTTCACGAGCGGGGCTGCAGCTGTAGCGTGCAAGCAGATGCAGTTCAGCGGGTCGTCGGGATTTTCTGGTTGCCAGTCTGCTGGGCTGTGTGGTCGCGTGGCGCCAGAAGTGGCAGAGTTGGCTTGTTCGGGGCAAGAGGGCAGCGTGGTGCAATGCCCCTTAGCCACAGGGGATGACGTGTTCTGCGCGCCAGAGGAATCTGTTGTGCTTTCCTGTGCTGGGGGTGGCAACCCAATTGGACCCCCAGCAGCGCCTGCCAACGAGCCCATGATGTGACGCCCGTGCGGTTGATGGCAACCAGTGTTGCTGTGGGGTTGGGCCTGTTGCGGCCTTGCTAGCGCCGCGTGGCCAGGTGCGCGAAAAGTTCATTGCAAGAGCCACAGTCGTGAAGGTGGCGCGCACGACTGCGAAAGCCAGGCAGCGTCTTGGGAAACACAGCCAAGGCTGGCCTTTGTCACGGTCAAGATTGTGGTGCCGTGGTAGCTGAGAGGCATGCTGCGCAGCACTTATGGCTTCGAGCGACGCAAGTGTTTGCGCGGCAGGGCTGCGCAAGACAAACGCGCAGCTTCAGCCTTGAGAAATTGGTTGTAATAGAATATATTTTGTATCGTTGTTGAAGCTTTGCCGCAAATCAGCGTGAAACATGTTTGCGCTTCAAGTCGGTCGCGCCTTGCTTGCTGAAAAAAAAGGGCAAGTTGTGCTTGAGGAGTGTCACTGAGCAGCCACAAGGCTTGTTTCGCGAGAAGATTGACAGCTATGACCTTGTTTCGTTTTGCTGTTACTGGCCAATCTTTGCTGCTGCTTGTGCAGCAGGCAGGAGCTTTGGCAATCGCGCAAGAGGGGTGTTGCGCTTGTGCTGAAAGTCTTGACAGGCTTGGTGCAGTGCAGCTCCTGCCCGCGTTGTCGATTCATCTGGGGCTGCTTCCCACGCTGGTCTGTTGGAGCTGCAGACAATTGGCGGGGGGTACGGGTCCGTGTGTGGCATGAACAGTGCAGCAGCGCACGTCGCTTGCAGACAGTTGGGCTTTGACTTCGGTGTTGTTTCTTCAACGCCGTGTGGTCAGTATGGGGGCCAGAGCCATTGTGGGGCCAGCGGTTCCGCAGTGGCCATGAAGAATTTGAAGTGCGGGGGTAGCGAGATGAGCTTGAGCGAGTGCGAGTTCGAAGATGCTGATGAGGCATGCTTCAGCCACAGCAGCGATGCAATTGTGTATTGCGGTCTTGACAATGCCGTGCCGTTTGTGAACGGCGAGCTGCGCTTGGTTGATGGAGATGGCGCTCCCGCTCTGCCGCAAGAGGCAGGGCGGCTGGAGATGTACTTGGCGGCCAAAAGCGCTTGGGCCCCAGTGTGCAAAGTTGGGTTCACGAGCGGGGCTGCAGCTGTAGCGTGCAAGCAGATGCAGTTCAGCGGATCGTCGGGATTTTCTGGTTGCCAGTCTGCTGGGCTGTGTGGTCGCGTGGCGCCAGAAGTGGCAGAGTTGGCTTGTTCGGGGCAAGAGGGCAGCGTGGTGCAATGCCCCTTAGCCACAGGGGATGACGTGTTCTGCGCGCCAGAGGAATCTGTTGTGCTTTCCTGTGCTGGGGGTGGCAACCCAATTGGACCCCCAGCAGCGCCTGCCAACGAGCCCATGATGTGACGCGCGTGCGGTTGATTGCAACCAGTGTTGCTGTGGGGTTGGGCCTGTTGCGGCCTTCGAGACACAGTGTGATTGTTGCTGAGGCTTGCTAGCGCCGCGTGGCCAGGTGCACGAAAAGTTCATTGCAAGAGCCACAGTCGTGAGGGTGGCGCGCACGACTGCGAAAGCCAGGCGGCGTTTTGGGAAACACAGCCAAGGCTGGCCTTTGTCACGGTCAAGAGGGTGGTGCCGTGGTAGCTGAGAGGCATGCTGCGCAGCACTTATGGCTTCGAGCGACGCAAGTGTTTGCGCGGCAGGGCTGCGCAAGACAAACGCGCAGCTTCAGCCTTGAGAAATTGGTTGTAATAGAATATATTTTGTATCGTTGTTGAAGCTTTGCCGCAAATCAGCGTGAAACATGTTTGCGCTTCAAGTCGGTCGCGCCTTGCTTGTTGAAAAGAAGGGGCAAGTTGTGCTTGAGGAGTGTCACTGAGCAGCCACAAGGCTTGTTTCGCGAGAAGATTGACAGCTATGACCTTGTTTCGTTTTGCTGTCGCTGGTCAGTGTTTGCTGCTGCTGGTGCAGCAGGCAGGAGCTATGGCAATCGCGCAAGAGGGGTGTTGCGCTTGTGCTGAAAGTCATGACAGGCTTGGTGCAGTGCAGCTCCTGCCCGCGTTGTCGATTCATCTGGGGCTGCTTCCCACGCTGGTCTGTTGGAGCTGCAGACAAGTGGCGGGGGGTACGGGTCCGTGTGTGGCATGAACAGTGCAGCAGCGCACGTCGCTTGCAGACAGTTGGGCTTTGACTTCGGTGTTGTTTCTTCAACGCCGTGTGGTCAGTATGGGGGCCAGAGCCATTGTGGGGCCAGCGGTTCCGCAGTGGCCATGAAGAATTTGAAGTGCGGGGGTAGCGAGATGAGCTTGAGCGAGTGCGAGTTCGAAGATGCTGATGAGGCATGCTTCAGCCACAGCAGCGATGCAATTGTGTATTGCGGTCTTGACAATGCCGTGCCGTTTGTGAACGGCGAGCTGCGCTTGGTTGATGGAGATGGCGCTCCCGCTCTGCCGCAAGAGGCAGGGCGGCTGGAGATGTACTTGGCGGCCAAAAGCGCTTGGGCCCCAGTGTGCAAAGTTGGGTTCACGAGCGGGGCTGCAGCTGTAGCGTGCAAGCAGATGCAGTTCAGCGGATCGTCGGGATTTTCTGGTTGCCAGTCTGCTGGGCTGTGTGGTCGCGTGGCGCCAGAAGTGGCAGAGTTGGCTTGTTCGGGGCAAGAGGGCAGCGTGGTGCAATGCCCCTTAGCCACAGGGGATGACGTGTTCTGCGCGCCAGAGGAATCTGTTGTGCTTTCCTGTGCTGGGGGTGGCAACCCAATTGGACCCCCAGCAGCTCCTGCCAACGAGCCCGTGATGTGACGCCCGTGCGGTTGATGGCAACCATTGTTGCTGTGGGGTTGGGCCTGTTGCGTCGCCCTTGCTTCCTGCAGCTGCTTGCTTTGTGCCTTTGCCATTTGAGCCCCCTTTGTGAGATGTTTTTTGCTATCTTATAGCAAAGCAAGCCGTTGCTGGACATGCGTGCCGCGCAAGCTGACGGGGTCATCTAAAACAGTAGGTGGCTGCAGCCTTAGATGCAGCCAGTTTTGGGCGTGGTCTCTTGCACGCATTTGACCACTGCACTGCGCTTATTTGGCGACGATCTGATTATCAGCAGTGACGTTTGGCGTCAACCGCGAGTGGCGCCTGCGCTCGCTTGGCGGAGACATGCGACGCAAATCTTCAGCAGTGCTGTGCAATCCGCGCCTAAAAGCTGGGAAGGCGAGTTTGCTGTGTTTTGTCGGCGTCTCGTTGCAATGCGCCCGTGGTCCACGCTGTGGATGCGTTTGCGGAGCAAGACGTGGCAGGTCTAGGATTGGTGGTTCATGCCTGGGAAAGCCTTGCGCGCCAGCGCCATCCTAAAGATGGTTGCCAGTCTGCCGGGCTGTTCGGGGCAAGAGCGCAGCGTGGCGCAATGCCTCAGCGACCAATGTTGCTGCGGTTTCGTGGCTGAGACGCGTGCTGGCAGCGCTACAGGGTGTGCGTGCGCCTTCATCGTGTGCGGGTTCGTGCTGGAATCAGGCTTAGGTGTTGCTAACGCCGTGCAAAAAGGCTTTGAAAATTCAGGGCCGGTAGACTCAAGGTGTTTTGGCTGCGACGCTGGGAAGGTGAGCTCCCAGGAGCTGCGCCTGCAGTGTGCAGCACAGAAGCCAATTTTGGTGAAACAGGGTGTGGCCCGCTGCATGACCCGCTTGCGGCTGCAGCCCAGTGTTGTTCAGCGAGGGCTCCCTCAGACAAACAGTGTCCTGTGCTCCGTTCCGCGGAAAAACCTGGTTTTGTTGAGCGTTGTTTTGGAGCAATTGGTGTGGCCACGCGTTGCCAGATTAGCAATGTGCAAGTCCTGCTGTGCCTTATGGTTTGTGCTCTGGTGCTTGGCGCGCGCCGACGACCCCAGCAGCTTGCCGGTGTTGTCAGTGCAGTTGAAAGCGCCCAAAGTGCAGCTGGCGCAGGACCGGCGTCCCCGCAAATCCGCTTCTTAGCACTTGCAACTTCAGGTTCGGGCAGTTGCAGCTGAGCTGGAGCGATCTAGCGAGGCATGGGAAAATGTAAGGTTTTCGCGCGCTGAGTTGGGCTGGCGAACAGAGAGTGTGACTTGTTTCAGGCTGCGCTGGCAGATCTGCAGTTTGCGTATGACAAAAGCTTAGCGCGCGCCAGACCGCGCATTGAGCGTCTGGTTCAGCAGTCTACGTGCGCGCTGTGCCTCCAACACAGTAGCGTGTGCAACGTGTCTTCTTGCCAGACGCCAGATCAGCGTCGCCAAGCCAGGCAACAGCGAGCTGCTGCTAGCTTGCTCGAGATTTGTTGGCTGCGTAGGTCTGCCATCTTTCTTGTCAGCAGTCAAGGAGAAAGTGTTGTACGAGGTGAAGCTTGTCTTGAATCCTGTAACAGAGCCAGGTTCGTGCGAGACCCAAACCAGTGCGCCACATTTTCGCCTTGCGCCAGATGGCTCCCTAGAGACTTCAATGCGGAACGTGGAGAACGCGCGACAAAAAGAGGCTGAGGCCATGGTGCGCCGAGCTTGCCGGGAAATGGAGCTCCTCACCACTGCGACTTGGCACGCATTCCCTGCTCAGATTTGTGGCGCTAGCGCGCCGTTCCCACAAAAGCTAGGATAAGGGAAATTGCTGCTGAGGTAGTCCTGGACCAGCTGGAGGCTGCCAAGTAAAACAGCCTGTCTGTCGCGGGTTGTCGGGCCCAGCTGGCAGGTTGCGCTGAAAGATTCCATGATGAGCTTGCGGCGAGCGGCGCAGCGGCAACCTGGTTTCTTGCAAAGCCGAGCATCGAAATTGCCCTCGCTGGTTCGCTCGCTTCACACTGAGTGCGCGTGCAGCTTTGAGCGTGAGCCAGGCGAATGTCCGACTGCTGCCCAGCAATGGGTTTCAGACAGTTCCTGACGTTGCGGCCACTTTGGAGCAGCAGCGCGACAAGCGCCAAGAAAAGGCGCGTGCTCTTACAGATGCTGCCCAGCGCAGCTGTTGTTGCTTGCAGGTTCGTGCGAGGTCTTTGGAGTTGCAGGCGCAGTTGCTGAAGGTAAGTTTCTTTTCGCTGGCTTGTTGTTTTTCCCTCGTAGCTGTAGCTGTAGTGCGAGGCTGAAAACGCGCTCATTGAGCACGCCTTGGACGACGCGTTGCGAGCGTGAGACTGCTTGAGCCAGCCTGGCTAGGCAGGAGGGCGCCCCAAGTGGCGACCTGCGCTTGACGTGGCTTGAGTTCTGCCTGGCTTGCGCGGCGACAACAACTGGATCGGCCTTGTGTAGGGGTCTCGCATGGTTCCTACGCGCGGCCTAAACATTCAACATTCACTTGTGGCCCAAGTGTGTGAGCAGTTAACAATTTGTGGTTGTGGGTGACGCCCAAAATTGTTAACTGCTTTTGCCCGCCCGCCCGCCCCTGACACTTGAGAGTTGTTGAGGCTGCAGCCCAGGTACTGCCAGGGTTCCTGGGGCATGTGTGGGGGAACTGCTCGTCATGTGAGGGGGCTGGTGAAGGGGCTGGTGACAGGGCACACTTTTCCAGAGCAGATGTGGATGTGTGAGTCAGTCAGGACTTGATACCTTGCTTTCTGGCAAGGTGCAGTGAGGTGGCCCTTGCAGAGCTCGGAAAGCCGGCTGGGCCGGCTGGTGGCAAGCAGGCATAGTAGGGCGGGAGAAACCTCATGCCAGCGCGATCCAGAGCGCAACCCACGCAACACAAGTAGACAATCCGAAGTCTGCAACCTGCGCGCAGCAAACACTTAACACTACAAAGATGTTCGGAAAGTCCGCGTACCGCTGCTGGTATAAAAGCAGGATGATGTCCATCCAGCCCCGCAACAAGACGCAGATGCTGCGGTGGGGGGACGTTGTGCTTGAGCGAGCGAAAAGCAACAACACCTCTCCCTAAGAGTAGCTTCCCAAATATATGAAATGTGTGCGTGATCTAGACTCAGACTGTTGCTTAAGTGTCTTGTTGGGGCTGACCACCTTGTAGGTGAACTTGGCTTGAATTTGAGAGGTCTGGACGGGGCTTGTTGGGCGTAGTTTACCCCCGTGCTGGGATTTGGCATGTGCTACGTATGCCACTGCTATGCCTTGGCCAGTTGGCGCATGACATGCCTACTTGGTCAGATCGCGTTAATTACCCACTCCCGCGCTGAGAAAATGAAGCATCATGCGCAGCACGCGCAGTCCCTGCGCTGCCCCAGTCAAGTTCAAGGGAAGAAGGGTGATTTTCGCCAGAACATTTTTGCGGTGGACATGTTCGGTTCTGTGCGCCTGGCTTGGGCAGTGCTGCTTGTTAGCTCGGCGTCTGCTCAGCTTGCCAGCGAGCTCACAAAGGAGCAGCTGAAGCCGCTGACAGTTTTCCGACAGCAGCATCGGCGTCTGGCGTGTTGGTGATCATTTTGCACATCTTTCCTCCTTGCAATGATGTTTGCAGGTGGGTGGCCGCTTGTGCGCGGCTGCTTTTGTGCAGGCGTGGCGAACCGCGCGTTCAGTCTGAGGGCGGGTTTGCTTTTGCTTGGTGCCAAGGACAAACGTGTCTACACTGGGTGCACAGACGCGCGGCCCCATGCAGCGCAATGCTGTTGAGCAGCTGCACGTTTGTGTTTTGCTAGGCCCCGAGCCCCGACGGAGGAAGCGGGAGAGAGTGGTGTTATGTCGAAGCCCAGGCGCGTGAGAGGGTGAGAGGTGCTGGCTGCGCTTCGGGAGATCGCCCGTGTGGTTTTGCGCAGCTTGTGTCGTCTGGCGAGAGTGAATCATGGGGCTATTGCGGCCAGTGGTTGGAAGTCTTTCCGGCTTGCGCTTGTCCAGTGCGGTTGCGTTCTCAGCGCCAGGATGCGTGCAGCAAACGCGCCCCCTTGTTGCGGGGCCGTGCGGATGTGTTTGAACTCTTTGTGGCTGGCAGTTGTGGATTATGACGCGCTGCGAAGTTCTGCTGCCGCGGGCGCAGTGGCCGCCGCCGAGAAAGTGAAGTCTTATGTAGTGAAGTTTGGAAAAGCCCAGCGCGCCGTTGAGCAAGCTTTGGACATGTGTGTGCCTGTCTGCACGCTCCGTATTGCTTGCCGGTCGGCTGGGCTGTTGATGAGGTATCATCGCCGATGCGCATCCAAGTAGAAAAAGAGAATGAGCAAGGTGTGTGCGGCCCTCCACGCAGGGGTTGTTGACATTGCGGCGTTGTGCTGTCACGGTTTGCGCCCAGTCACGTTGTGGCCTTTCCGATTCGTGTTGATCCCAGTGCATCTTGCGTCTCAGAGCTTGTCCAGCTCAACTTGTTGGGAAGGGGTTGTCCCCTGGGTTGGTTTGCTCCCCCAGCCCCGCCCTCCCTCCAAGTGCCTGTTCAGTCTTGTGCATTCCCAGCTGGCGGCTTGTGTTGAGGTAGGCCAGCTGGGCCACTGTGTAGCACATCATGGCAGAAAAGAGAACAAGTGCTTGGGCTGTTACAACGCCAGCGTGTTCCAACTATATATACATCGGGCGAAGAGCGAACCAGTGAACTGACACACGCGTGCTTGTTTGGCCCCCGAGAGTCCGAGAGCTACGACTGGGTCTTGATGCTGTCAGCGCCCAGCGACGTCAGTCAAGTTCAAGGGAAGAAGGGTGATTTTCGCCAGAACATTTTTGCGGTGGACATGTTCGGTTCTGCGCGCCTGGCTTGGGCAGTGCTGCTTGTTAGCTCGGCGTCTGCTCAGCTTGCCAGCGAGCTTACAAAGGAGCAGCTGAAGCCGCTGACAGTTTTCCGACAGCAGCATCGGCGTCTGGCGTGTTGGTGATCGTTTTGCACATCTTTCCTCCTTGCAATGAAGTTTGCAGGTGGATGGCCGCCTGTGCGCGGCCTGTGCGCGGCTGCTTTTGTGCAGGCGTGGCGAACCGCGCGTTCAGTCTGAGGGCGGGTTTGCTTTTGCTTGGTGTCAAGGACAAACGTGTCTACACTGGGTGCACAGACGCACGGCCCCATGCAGCGCAATGCTGTTGAGCAGCTGCACGTTTGTGTTTTGCTAGGCCCCGAGCCCCGACGGAGGAAGCGGGAGAGAGTGGTGTTATGTCGAAGCCCAGGCGCGTGAGAGGGTGAGAGGTGCTGGCTGCGCTTCGGGAGATCGCCCGTGTGGTTTTGCGCAGCTTGTGTCGTCTGGCGAGAGTGAGTCTTGGGGCTATTGCGGCCAGTGGTTGGAAGTTTTTCCGGCTTGCGCGTGTCCATTGCGGTTGCGTTCTCAGCGCCAGGATGCGTGCAGCAAACGCGCCCCCTTGTTGCGGGGCTTGGCAGATGTGTTGGAACTCTTTGTGGCTGGCAGTTGTGGATTATGACGCGCTACGAAGTTCTGCTGCCGCCGGCGCAGTGGCCGCCGCCGAGAAAGTGAAGTCTTATGTAGTGAAGTTTGGAAAAGCCCAGCGCGCCGTTGAGCAAGCTTTGGACATGTGTGTGCCTGTCTGCACGCTCCGTAGCGCTTGCCGGTTGGCTGGGCTGTTGATGAGGTATCATCGCCGATGCGCATCCAAGTAGAAAAGAGAATGAGCAAGGTGTGTGCGGCCCTCCACGCAGGGGTTGTTGACGTTGCGGCGTTGTGTTGTCACGGTTTGCGCCCAGTCACAATGTGGCCCCTTCCCAATTCGTGTTGATCCCAATGCATCTTGCGTCTCAGAGCTTGTCCAGCTCAACTTGTTGGGAAGGGGGAGCATGTTGTGCATTCCCAGCTGGGTGGCCTGTGTTGGTCGCCATCGTGGCAGAAAAGAGCACAGGTGCTTGGGTCACAAGGGTCGAGCTGCCGCATAGCAAAGGAGAGCGCGCTGCTACAATGCCCGCATGTTCAACTATATACATCGGAAGAAGAGCGAAACAGTGAACTGCTAGTGACACTGACACACGCGTGGCCCCCGAGAGTCCGAGAACTACGACTGGGTCTTGATGCTGTCAGCGCCTAGCGCCGTCGGTCAAGTTCAAGGGAAGAAGGGTGATTTTCGCCAGAACATTTTTGCGGTGGACATGTTCGGTTCTGCGCGCCTGGCTTGGGCAGTGCTGCTTGTTAGCTCGGCGTCTGCTCAGCTTGCCAGCGAGCTTACAAAGGAGCAGCTGAAACCGCTGACAGTTTTCCGACAGCAGCATCGGCGTCTGGCGTGTTGGTGATCGTGGATCGCATCTTTCCTCCTTGCAATGATGTTTGCAGGTGGATGGCCGCCTGTGCACGGCTGCTTTTGTGCAGGCGTGGCGAACCGCGCGTTCAGTCTGAGGGCGGGTTTGCTTTTGCTTGGTGTCAAGGACAAACGTGTCTACACTGGGTGCACAGACGCACGGCCCCATGCAGCGCAATGCTGTTGAGCAGCTGCACGTTTGTGTTTTGCTAGGCCCCGAGCCCCGACGGAGGAAGCGGGAGAGAGTGGTGTTATGTCGAAGCCCAGGCGCGTGAGAGGGTGAGAGGTGCTGGCTGCGTTTCGGGAGATCGCCCGTGTGGTTTTGCGCAGCTTGTGTCGTCTGGCAAGAGTGAGTCCTGGGGCTATTGCGGCCAGTGGTTGGAAGTTTTTCCGGCTTGCGCGTGTCCATTGCGGTTGCGTTCTCAGCGCCAGGATGCGTGCAGCAAACGCGCCCCCTTGTTGCGGGGCTTGGCAGTTGTGTTGGAACTCTTTGTGGCTGGCAGTTGTGGATTATGACGCTCTGCGAAGTTCTGCTGCCGCCGGCGCAGTGGCCGCCGCCGAGAAAGTGAAGTCTTATGTAGTGAAGTTTGGAAAAGCCCAGCGCGCCGTTGAGCAAGCTTTGGACATGTGTGTGCTTGTCTGCACGCTCCGTAGCCCTTGCCGGTTGGCTGGGCTGTTGATGAGGTATCATCGCCGATGCGCATCCAAGTAGAAAGAAAGTGAGCAAGGTGTGTGCGGCCCTCCACGCAGGGGTTGTTGACGTTGTGGCGTTGTGTTGTCACGGTTTGCGCCCAGTCACGTTGTGGCCCCTTCCCAATTCGTGTTGATCCCAATGCATCTTGCATCTCAGAGCTTGTCCAGCTCAACTTGTTGGGAAGGGGGAGCATGTTGTGCATTCCCAGCTGGGTGGCCTGTGTTGGTCGCCATCATGGCAGAAAAGGGCACAGGTGCTTGGGTCACAAGGGTCGAGCTGCCGCATAGCAAAGGAGAGCGCGCTGCTACAATGCCTGCATGTTCAACTATATACATCGGAAGAAGAGCGAAACAGTGAACTGCTATACTGCTATACTATAGACTGACGCACGCGTGCTTGTTTGGCCCCCGAGAGTCCGAGAACTACGACTGGGTCTTGATGCTGTCAGCGCCCAGCGCCGTCAGTCAAGTTCAAGGGAAGAAGGGTGATTTTCGCCAGAACATTTTGCGGTGGACATGTTCGGTTCTGTGCGCCTGGCTTGGGCAGTGCTGCTTGTTAGCTCGGCGTCTGCTCAGCTTGCCAGCGAGCTCACAAAGGAGCAGCTGAAGCCGCTGACAGTTTTCCGACAGCAGCATCGGCGTCTGGCGTGTTGGTGATCGTTTTCAACATCTTTCCTCCTTGAAATGATGTTTGCAGGTGGATGGCCGCCTGTGCGCGGCTGCTTTTGTGCAGGCGTGGCGAACCGCGCGTTCAGTCTGAGGGCGGGTTTGCTTTTGCTTGGTGTCAAGGACAAACGTGTCTACACTGGGTGCACAGACGCACGGCCCCATGCAGCGCAATGCTGTTGAGCAGCTGCACGTTTGTGTTTTGCTAGGCCCCGAGCCCCGACGGAGGAAGCGGGAGAGAGTGGTGTTATGTCGAAGCCCAGGCGTGCAAGAGGGTGTGAGAGGTGGCTGCGCTTCGGGAGATCGCCCGTGTGGTTTTGCGCAGCTTGTGTCGTCTGGCGAGAGTGAGTCTTGGGGCTATTGCGGCCAGTGGTTGGAAGTCTTTCCGGCTTGCGCTTGTCCAGTGCGGTTGCGTTCTCAGCGCCAGGATGCGTGCAGCAAACGCGCCCCCTTGTTGCGGGGCCGTGCGGATGTGTTTGAACTCTTTGTGGCTGACAGTTGTGGATTATGACGCGCTGCGAAGTTCTGCTGCCGCCGGCGCAGTGGCCGCCGCCGAGAAAGTGAAGTCTTATGTAGTGAAGTTTGGAAAAGCCCAGCGCGCCGTTGAGCAAGCTTTGGACATGTGTGTGCTTGTGCGCTCCGTAGCGCTTGCCGGTTGGCTGGGCTGTTGACGAGGTATCATCGCCGATGCGCATCCAAGTAGAAAGAAAGTGAGCAAGGTGTGTGCGGCCCTCCACGCAGGGGTTGTTGACGTTGTGGCGTTGTGTTGTCACGGTTTGCCCAGTCACGTTGTGGCCCCTTCCCAATTTGTGTTGATCCCAATGCATCTTGCACCTCAGAGCTTTTCCAGCTCAACTTGTTGGGAAGGGGGAGGATGTTGTGCATTCCCAGCTGGCTGGCCTGTGTTGGTAGCCATCATGGCAGAAAAGAGCACAAGTGCTTGGGTCACAAGGGTCGAGCTGCCGCATAGCCAAGGAGAGCGCGCTGTTACAACGCCCGCATGTTCAACTATATACATCGGAAGAAGAGCGAAACAGTGAACTGCTAGTGACACTGACACACGCGTGGCCCCCGAGAATCCGAGAACTACGACTGGGTCTTGATGCTGTCAGGGCCTAGCGCCGTCAGTCAAGTTCAAGGGAAGGGTGATTTTCGACAGAACATTTTTGCGGTGGACATGTTCGGTTCTGCGCGCCTGGCTTTGGCAGTGCTGCTTGTTAGCTCGGCGTCTGCTCAGCTTGCCAGCCAGCTTACAAAGGAGCAGCTGAAACCGCTGACAGTTTTCCGACAGCAGCATCGGCGTCTGGCGTGTTGGTGCTCGTTTTGCACATTTTTCCTCCTTGCAATGATGTTTGCAGGTGGATGGCCGCCTGTGCGCGGCTGCTTTTGTGCAGGCGTGGCGAACCGCGCGTTCAGTCTGAGGGCGGGTTTGCTTTTGCTTGGTGTCAAGGACAAACGTGTCTACACTGGGTGCACAGACGCACGGCCCCATGCAGCGCAATGCTGTTGAGCAGCTGCACGTTTGTGTTTTGCTAGGCCCCGAGCCCCGACGGAGGAAGCGGGAGAGAGTGGTGTTATGTCGAAGCCCAGGCGTGCAAGAGGGTGTGAGAGGTGGCTGCGCTTCGGGAGATCGCCCGTGTGGTTTTGCGCAGCTTGTGTCGTCTGGCGAGAGTGAGTCTTGGGGCTATTGCGGCCAGTGGTTGGAAGTCTTTCCGGCTTGCGCTTGTCCAGTGCGGTTGCGTTCTCAGCGCCAGGATGCGTGCAGCAAACGCGCCCCCTTGTTGCGGGGCCGTGCGGATGTGTTTGAACTCTTTGTGGCTGACAGTTGTGGATTATGACGCGCTGCGAAGTTCTGCTGCCGCCGGCGCAGTGGCCGCCGCCGAGAAAGTGAAGTCTTATGTAGTGAAGTTTGGAAAAGCCCAGCGTGCCGTTGAGCAAGCTTTGGACATGTGTGTGCTTGTCTTTGCGCTCCGTAGCGCTTGCCGGTTGGCTGGGCTGTTGATGAGGTATCATCGCCGATGCGCAGCCAAGTAGAAAGGGAGTGAGCAAGGTGTGTGCGGCCCCCCTCCACGCAGGGGTTGTTGTGTTGTCACAGTTTGCGCCCAGTCGCTTCGTCCGCTTGCCGCTTTTATTTGTTGCGGGGGCAGGCGGGCTTAAATGAGCTGCCACAGAGCTAAGGAGAGCGTGCTGTTGCAACGCCCGCGTGTTCCAACTACATCGCCAGTCAGAGACGAAAGCGTGCTTTTTGGCCCCCGAGAGTCCGAGAGCTACCACTGGATCTTGATGCTGTCAGCGCCTTGCGCCGCCTGTCAAGTTCAAGGGTGATTTTTGCGGAAACATTTTTGCGGTGGACATGTTCGGTTCTGCGCGCCTGGCTTGGGCAGTGCTGCTTGTTAGCTCGGCGTCTGCTCAGCTTGCCAGCGAGCTTACAAAGGAGCAGCTGAAACCGCTGACAGTTTTCCGACAGCAGCATCGGCGTCTGGCGTGTTGGTGCTCGTTTTGCACATTTTTCCTCCTTGCAATGATGTTTGCAGGTGGATGGCCGCCTGTGCGCGGCTGCTTTTGTGCAGGCGTGGCGAACCGCGCGTTCAGTCTGAGGGCGGGTTTGCTTTGCTTGGTGTCAAGGACAAACGTGTCTACACTGGGTGCACAGACGCACGGCCCCATGCAGCGCAATGCTGTTGAGCAGCTGCACGTTTGTGTTTTGCTAGGCCCCGAGCCCCGACGGAGGAAGCGGGAGAGAGTGGTGTTATGTCGAAGCCCAGGCGCGTGAGAGGGTGTGAGAGGTGCTGGCTGCGCTTCGGGAGATCGCCCGTGTGGTTTTGCGCAGCTTGTGTCGTTTGGCGAGAGTGAATCATGGGGCTATTGCGGCCAGTGGCTGGAAGTCTTTCCGGCTTGCGCTTGTCCAGTGCGGTTGCGTTCTCAGCGCCAGGATGCGTGCAGCAAACGCGCCCCCTTGTTGCGGGGCCGTGCGGATGTGTTTGAACTCTTTGTGGCTGACAGTTGTGGATTATGACGCGCTGCGAAGTTCTGCTGCCGCGGGCGCAGTGGCCGCCGCCGAGAAAGTGAAGTCTTATGTAGTGAAGTTTGGAAAAGCCCAGCGCGCTGTTGAGCAAGCTTTGGACATGTGTGTGCTTGTGCGCTCTGTAGCGCTTGCCGGTTGGCTGGGCTGTTGACGAGGTATTATCGCCGATGCGCAGCTAAGTAGAAGGAGAGTGAGCAAGGTGTGTGCGGCCCTCCATGCAAGGGTTCTTGGCATTGGGGCGTTGTGTTGTCACGGATTGCGCGCAGCCGCATCATGACCCCTTGCTGCTCCTGCTTGTTGCGGGGGCAGGCAACACAATAACTGCAATAGCCAAACCCACAAAAACAGGTCCGGGGACAAGACCAGTTGAGCAAGCAGTCAGATACCACCGCTGCATATGTACTACAACCAGTGGGAATGTGTGGCCAAGCATGCAACCGAAAAAATTTGATCAAAACCAGCTATTGAGTTGTGATTCGTGATGCTCAAGGCAAAGCATGAGAATGTAGCGTTCATCCCAATGTGGATTGAACACGCTAGTGCTTCGGTAGCTCATTTGAGCCTAAAACAAAAACGTTTGGTTAACATAATACAGAGGATATAGTGAAGGTGCAAGTACCTACCAAATTCGGTTTTATTTGCCGTATTGCCCCTGCAATGGGCAATGTGGCCCCCGAGAGCTGCCACTGGGCAGATTTAGCTTGATGCTGTCAGTGCCTAGCGCAGCCCAATCAAGTTGTTTCAAGTGAAGGGTGGCTTGTGAAGGTGCTGGCATAGTGTTAGCTCAGTTTTCCAGCGGCTGCATCAGCGTCTGGCGTGCTGGCTGCGTATGTTGCAGCTAGTGTCAAGGTGCACTCCCTGGAATTAAACAGGAAGCTCCGAAGCTTTTTTTTTTGCAGGTTAGTCAAAAAAAACATGTTTTGGATAATCTTAATATAGAAATCTCTGGGGTGTTTTTTGTCGAATTCCGTATATCGGACATGAAAGCTGACTTCCCACGATGATTCGGGCACCGATTGCCTTAACCCCCAGCTAATTACTCTTTCCAAAATTTTCTGATATCTATCATAATAGTTTCCCGATTGTTTAAAAAAACAGCAAGGCAAACGACGAGCATGACGAACCAAAACATGTGTTTGTTTGTATAAATAAATACAGGTTAAACATCTAGAAATTACGAAAAAAATATCTCGATCGGAATTGTTATAATAAAGGATATATATTTTTATATTTCATATCATAATTTTATTTTTTTTTTTATTTTTTTTTAAATCTTAAATTTAAATTAATATATATATAAAATTTCAGATATTTTAAAATTAATATATTATTTATAAACATATTTTTGTATATTATTTATTTTAAAACATTCAAAATATAATATAATAATAATAATTAGAATTGGAAAATACATATTGTTTATTTTTAACTTAAACCTATTTTAGGTATGGATATTATATTATTTTATTTTGAAAATTAAATTTAAATTATTTGGTTGTATAAATAGGTGATTTTGGAGATGTATTTTAAGAATGATGAATTGTTTTGTTTTTTTATTTATTGCTTTAGATGAATGTTTCGATTACTTTTTGATAAATAATGGTGTTGTTTTTGATTATTTCTTTTAATTTATATTTAATGGAATTATTTTCGCTTGAATTATGAGGAATTGATGTTTTTTGGAACCTTTTTGGGTGTTTGATTTGGGTTTTGTTTTCGGAATGGGGTGATATAATCTTCGTGCCTAAAGTGGTGTTGGGTTGTGGATGGGCGAGATTTTATTTCCCGATTCTGTTTTGTGGTTAATATTTTCGAACATTTCGATTTGAAGATTTGGATTGAGATTGCCAATCTTTTTGGGTTGGGCTAGACCCCGATCACGAGGCAAGAACTTCTTATTCCTTTCTTAATTTATATTTTAGGAGTGACGAAATATTTAATTCGATTTTAAAAAATCTTAAACTAATAAATTATTTATAATTTAAAATATAATAATTTTATTAAACACAAATTAAGGAAATTAATTATAATGAATATTATTATATATTGATTGAAATATTTATCGAAAAAAATATAATTAAAGAAATTAATTTATAATATTTGGAGTATATTTGTGCGAATAAACGCAATTTCCCGATGCTTTTCATATACTAAATAATGCTTTTTGTAATTTAAATGAAATTCGAATTTTAAATTGGATTTATATCGTTTTCTTTCTAGATCAAATTTATCCATATTTTCCTAAACTAGAAACTTAAAATTAATGTTTTAAACGACCGACTCCACAAATCATTCTGAATGCTTTTATGTTTGGCATATTGCTGTGCTGCTGCTAGTGATTCTTATATATTCCCAAGATATGAGATTGGAAAGGAAATATAATCATTATATTTGGGATTAATTATGGAAAACGACATCAAAAAAATTAAAAAAATATGGAATTCTTATCATCAGAATATCTATAAATTTTATCCGGGATTAATGGGTAATAAGTTCACAGACTCTAACGAGGGTTGTGCGCTAGCCTGCAAGGCTAAAGCAAACACAACGTCCTTCAAAATGGTGTGTGTGACTTACTTGTATCTATATCCTATAAAATGCAAAACATAATGTCCGAAAAAATCCAAATTTTGGTGGCAAAATAAACAATAAATCCTGAGCCAGAATTCCTAAGACAATAAAAGTACGCAATCGCACTTATCCCATTATATCCGTTTACTCCATCAAGAAATAAATCACCTTAAAATAAATAATTATTAACAAAATAGCTTATATATATTTAATTCATTTTTTTATTTTAATATAAATATCTTTATATATAACAATATTTAATATATATAAATATATAAATATATAAAATTTATTTCTATTATTTTATATAAATATTTATTTTAATATTTATATATAATATTATATATATATATTATTTATGCTTTTTTTATTTAAATAAGGGTATAATAAAAAAATATATATATTTAATAAGACCGATAAAAAAACACAATAACATCATAATTATTCCACTACAAATTCGTATTCTATTCCGCAACACTTCTAATCCAAGCAAACAACCTAACAATATATAAAATATAATATACATATATATTAATTTTTCAAATTAATAATTCATATCTATAATTTTTATAATATATATAAATATATCACAAAATTCAAAAATACTCGAATTTTTCCTTTCGACCAAATCATAAAAAATCAGATAAACAAAATATATTTCGACGACCACTCATCATAGAGGTTTCTTTCATACACAAAAAACAACAATACTAACAACAACATAGAACACCTCGAAATTTTATATCTCTTAAACAACACAAATCAAAAATCATAAAAACATCTATATACTTATCTCTATTTACACTTAACTCTTAATATTTAACTCTATATATTTAATTCTTCATATAACTCTATATATAAATTTTATATTCTTTAAATTTATATTAAATATAAATTAATTTTAAATATATAAAATATCTAAAATTATAATTATAATTTTATAAAATATTTTTTTGTTTTTAATTAACATAATTAAGATTAATATATATCAATATTTAATATTTATAATACTTATCTATATATTAAATTAACAAAATAAATTATATTAATCGCATTATCCATTCTACCACCCTCTCAATCATTTTCACAAAATCAATAATACTATCATAATTACACATTACAATTCCCATCAAATTCAATCATCAAAATCATTTTTGGCATTTTGAAAAGACTTTCAATTCAATTACCTAAAATCCAAATATTAGTATTTATTCAATATCCAACCGCTTTTAGACTAGCTTTCAACAGGATCACGTCAGAACTTGCTAGAACTCAAGTCGTCAAAGCAACGCTGGCAATTGTGTGTTGCTCTGTGTTTCTATCAGGCTTGTTCTGGCAAGTGACGTAATGCAGCCCAGGGCAGGCAACTCTTTTGGGAGCGCTGCCAGGGGATTCGCTTGCGCAGTGCTGTGCTCATGGCAAATCGCGACAGAAACTTTTAGGTCGAGACTGGCAATTCAAGCACACAAAACAGCTCCCTGTTTTACTTTGTACATCGGAGGGTACGATTTCCAAAGCAGTGGGACGCAGTGGGCAAAGCCCCGATGTCAACAAGAGCTTCGACAACAAAAGCACGGCCTGCGAGGACAAGCCCTTGTGTGTTAAAACATCTCACCATGACGAAGCTGCTGCGCCGCAAAAGGTGAAACTTGTCCAACTTGAGCGTTGCTTTTTGCTCAAGGCAAAGCCTCGCTCATCCGTCCAATGCATTGGCCGAACCTTCGCATGGTCAGTCACATCTAAGGGCTCCTTTCATATTGCGTTGGTTGGGAAAGTGCTGGTTTGGGCATCTTTGTGGGAAGGAAGGTCCCACTACCACAGGGTACCAGTTTGCTTCTGGGATAGGCACCCCGGCAGTGGGCCTCACCCCCCCCCCCTCACCCCCCCCCGCGCCCCGCTGAAGCGTAGACAAGCGAAGCGCAAACGCAGCATACGCAAACACGCGCGATTTCACTTACTTACGTGCGCTTGTGCTTAAGCTTAAGACAATCGAAGCGCAAGCGCAGCAAGCACGCGTGATCTCGCTTACTTGCTTGCGCTTGTGCTTGTGCTTGGGGTTGTGTTGGGTGTTGGGTGTTGTGCCTGGTTCCGCCGCCCCCACACACCTCAGAATTTCGGCCCGGAACGAGAGAAAGCACGCGTGCACAGACCCGTTCGCGGACACGAAGACAGACGCA